CGGCTACGCGACTGGCTGACCGAACCTGCTGACACAGCAACCAAGCATGCATGGTCCGGAGTCGCTCACCCAAAACAGGCTCGAGCTCAATATCAAGCCCTGCGTGAACAAGTACAAACCCTGGCACGAGAACAACGTATTCGTGATTTCTCCTCCAAGCAAATTGGTCTTGACCCAATGCCAGAATTTCCAATTCATGCACTCGAAGGACCCTTAACCCCAATCATGCCAAATGTACTTCCTAAGCAACTGCTGCCTACTGCCCGTAAGATTCACCCTGCCGACCTAGGTGTTATGGACGACAGACCGCCATCGCAGCTATCGCCAACTGCAGTTCAACTCCTTCAGGAAAAACACATGCAAAGCGTCCTTGTAGGAATGAAGTTTTTCGGAGCAGGAATTGGCAGAGCGGAAGATTTACTGCAATTCTTCCTTGGGCACAATTATGATGCTACTATCGAGCGCCATTGTCCTCAAGCCAAGGAATGGATCTCCCACATGCTTAAATCTGTTGGACAGTGCGCCTCCACCATGACGCAAACTTTGCTCTGGCTGTACTCCATATTACATCGTGAGCAGGTTTCTGTCCATTTTGTTCATATTGCTGATTGGGAGGATCAAGCACATATTACCACTTTTGGGGACGCCCCTGCCAAATGGACTGTCTATTGTGTTCAATTTCCACGCTCGAATACTTTTCACCTTGACACTGCCGCGTGGAATTGTCATACCCGGGTTGACATCCCATGGCAGCAACTGCCTCGCCCTGTTGCGTTTACGGCTGTACCTATCCCTTTCCACTGCACCAACCCCAACTGCATCTGGTTTGCTGTTCCGTATGGGCCTAAAGGACAATATCTACTTTGCCATCGTTTTATCGGTGCATTCCTATATGACCAGTGCATTGTTTGCTTTCTGTCTCGGTTTGTAGAACAATCCTCTTGCAATATACACACGGCAGTCAGTTCTTATCCTGAATTCCATGGTTGCATGTTTATTGACAACAAGGGTGATGTCGCTGTTGCTGCTGCGCACGACTGGAAGCTCGATGACACTAAGGGTTATCAAACATGCCTGATTAAAGCATCCATCGACAGCCGTGTTTTCAAGTACCCAGATCATAGTGACACTCTTCCACACATTAACCCTATTGGGAAAATTAGTCAGGAACTCGCATGTAGCTGGAATACAGATGATGCCTCCCCTGATTTTGCCTTTTTTGTGTGTTCTCTCATTAAGTGTAACCAGTAACCATGCCGCGCCTCGGGACAGTTGCGAAACCTCTACTGCTCGAATTTCGCAACGCGTGGTCCCGGCAAATTCGAGCACTGTATTCACTCCAATTTATGACCAAATGTCCGAAAAGCCTGCACTGCTTGCAGTCACTCTCTTTTCTACCGCATGTGCTCCAGATACCTGCTCCGTGGCCAATATTAGACATTCAGACAGTGGCTAATAAGTGTGGCATCCACAGTGAATGTTTTTCCCACTCTAGACAACTCCTTGCGCAAGCGCTGACCAACTCTTCTGAGTTCAGCCTCCTCTGTGCTGAAGTCCTTAAATATCGTCTAGAAAAGAAACAAGATTGCTGTACTGCACTTCGACATTTAACCACATGGAATGTATCAGGGTGGAGAACGTTGCAATGGACTAACCCAAAGACACAAGCCATCCTCCGCCGCGCTAGGCAGGGAATTGTCTGCCTCCAAGAAACTAGATGGACAGCGAGCACTGCTACCAATTTTCTCCAAACCTATCCAGGCTTCAATATTGCGCACTCCCCATCAATCGTCACAGAAAATGGAGGCTTATCGGGAGGGGTAGCCATAGAAAATCGGGAGACCAACGAATTCTGTGTGGAAATGCGTCTGTGTGTATGTGCATGAAAAACGTCTCTGTGTGAAAGCGTTTGTGTGTGAAAGTGTTTATGTGTAAAGATTCTGTGTGTAAAAGCGTCGCGTTTCTTCGCGTTCACGGAATGATGGTGCCGGGCCTTTTTCCGCAATGTGTCTGGGAATTACCATAATAAAATGAGCTAGCACATGCCATTCGCAGACTCATGGTACTGAGCCTCCTGTGCACTTTTTGTTGCTCACATTATTACATTTCTCCATGTTTTCTTTCTACCCCCCCCTTTCATTCTCTCTCTCTCTTGCTTTCTCTTTCTCTCTCTCTCTCTCTTTCTCTCTTTCTCTCTCTCTCTCTCTTTATCTCTGCCCCCTCTTTCTCTCTGTGGTTGAAAAACACATGTCATCTGATACCCTTTACCAAATATTCTCTTCTTGATCAATCTTACTTTTTCACACCATATCTTTCCATAGCTCATATAAAATTCACCAACTATTCACCGACTATCTTTTACGACTACCATCCTCAGAGCTGCTTGAAAAACATCTTTTTCGCTCTCGGGCCAACCGTCGTCTAGTTATTATGTTGTATAATGTTTTTATTATGCTTTATTATGTTGTATTATGTTGTATTATGTTTTATTATGTTTGATTATGTTGTATTATGTTTTTATAATGCTTTATTATGTTGTATTATGTTGTATTATGTTTTATTATGTTTGATTATGTTGTATTATGTTTTTATTATGTTATATTATGTTTTTATTATGTTGTATTATGTTGTTGTATTATGTTATTATTATTTTTTATTATGTTGTATTATGTTTTATTATGTTTGATTATGTTGTATTATGTTTTTATTATGTTATATTATGTTTTATTATGTTGTATTATGTTTTATTATGTTTGATTATGCTGTATTATGTTTTTATTATGGTATATTATTTTTGATTATGTTGCATTGTGTTTTTATTAGGTTTGATTATGTTGTATTATGTTTTTATTATGTTTTTATTATGTTTTTATTATGTTTTTATTATGTTTTTATTATGTTTTTATTCTGTTGTATTATGTTTTTATTATGTTTTATTATGTTGTATTATTTTATATTATGTTTTTATTATGTTGTATTATGTTTTATTATGTTGTATTATGTTCTATTATGTTTGATTATGTTGTACTATGTTGTTATTATGTTGTATTATGTTTTTATTATGTGGTATTATATTTTTATTATGTTTTATTATGTTGTATAATGTTTTTATTATGTTGTATTATGTTGTATTATATTTTTATGATGTTTTATTACGTTGTATTAAGTTTTTATTATGTTGTATTATGTTGTATTATGTTTTATTATGTTATTGTTATGTTGTATTATGTTGTACTATGTTTTTATTATGTTGTATTGTGTTTTTATTACGTTTTATTATGTTGTATTATGTTTTTGATGATGTTGTATTATGTTTTTATTATGTTTTATTATGTTGTATTGTGTTTTTATTATGTTTTATTATGTTGTATTATTTTATATTATGTTTTTATTATGTTATATTATGTTTGATTATGTTGTATTATGTTTTTGATTATGTTGTATTATGTTTTATTATATTGTATTATGTTTTTATTATGTTTTATCATGTTGTATTATGTTATATTATGTTTTATTATGTGGTATTATGTTTTTATTGTTCTGTATTATGCTGTATTATATTGTATTATGTTTTTATTATGTTGTATTATGTTGTATTATGTTATATTATGTTGTATTATGTTTTATTATGTTTGATTATGTTGTATTATGTTTTTATTATGTTATATTATGTTTTATTATGTTGTATTATGTTTTATTATGTTTGATTATGCTGTATTATGTTTTTATTATGGTATATTATTTTTGATTATGTTGCATTGTGTTTTTATTAGGTTTGATTATGTTGTATTATGTTTTTATTATGTTTTTATTATGTTTTTATTCTGTTGTATTTTGTTTTTATTATGTTTTATTATGTTGTATTATTTTATATTATGTTTTTATTATGTTGTATTATATTTTATTATGTTGTATTATGTTCTATTATGTTTGATTATGTTGTACTATGTTGTTATTATGTTGTTATTATGTTGTATTATGTTGTATTATGTTGTATTATGTTATATTATGTTTGATTATGTTGTATTATGTTTTTATTATGTTGTATTATGTTGTATTATGTTGTATTATGTTATATTATGTTTGATTATGTTGTATTATGTTTTTATTATGTTATATTATGTTGTACTATGTTGTATTATGTAATATTATGTTTGATTATGTTGTATTATGTTTTTATTATGTTTGATTATGTTGTATTATGTTTTTATTATGGTATATTGTGTTTGATTATGTTGTATTATGTTTCTCTTATGTTTGATTATGTTGTATTATGTTTTTATTATGGTATATTATTGTTGATTATGTTGCATTGTGTTTTTATTAGGTTTGATTATGTTGTATTATGCTTTTATTATGTTATATTATGTTTGATTATGTTGTATTATGTTATATTATGTTTGATTATGTTGTATTGTGTTTTTATTATGTTATATTATGTTTCATTATGTTGTATTATGTTAAATTATGTTTGATTATGTTGTATTATGTTAAATTATGTTTGATTATGTTGTATTATGTTTTTATTATGTTATATTATGTTTCATTATGTTGTATTATGTTAAATTATGTTTGATTATGTTGTATTATGCTATATTGTGTTTGATTATGATTGTATGATGTTTTTATTATGTTTTATTATGTTTGATTTTGTTTATTTCATTCACATGCCATGAAGTCTCATTAAAGTCCTGCACCTGCGGCCAGTTCTTTTTAAATAACTGGGGAGGTCCTCGACGCATCTCCTCGCGTTCACAACCATCAACATATACACAAGTGAATCCAAACATATGATTCATGTGGTACATCACCACGAGAGCATCAACATGTATGTGCATTGTTTTATCCCGACAACAGAGGTGAAGTACATGGGTGGGTACATGGTACAAATGGGTGGGCATTCGTGAACATATGTATGAACATCTCACACTTCACCCTACCACACCCTCCCTATGAGCCATCATGCCGTTCGCATTCACATCAAGATGCTTACTCCAAGCTCACTCCCTAAACAAAGAAGGATAATAACAACTTGTCAACCTGTTCTTGTTTATCTCATTCACATACCATGATGTCTCACTAAAGTCCTGCACCTGCGGCCAGTCCTTTTTGAATAACTGGGGAGGTCCTCGACGCATTTCCTCGCGTTCACAACCATCAACATATGCACAAGTGAATCCAAACATATGATTTATGTGGTACATCACCACGAGAGCATCAACATGTGTGTGCATTGGTTTATCCCCTCTTGGACATGCACAGCGGGAGCAAACTGGAATCAACATGAGGAGCAAGCAAATACATTTCTTCTCTGAGGTCAGGACGTGAGCTAGGTTCCAACTAACACTGAGTCGACAAAATCCTGCATTGAGGAGTTTGTCAACCAATTCACGCGACGGTTCATCCGATGGGTTGCTCGAAGACGGCACACGGGCAGTCCAAAGGTAAAGGCCGCTCCTTCGAACTGCCAAACTCCCATTTCTCAGCAAACACTGGTGGATTTCCAAGGAGCTCTTCAATGAGATCAGGGATGCCCTAGCAGCTTCATTATCTACAAAGAGCATGACGCGTATGTTCTGAAATTTATCCTCGAGTAAATGTATCGCCATCACAGCAGAGAGAAGCTCCAAAGTAGAGATGATCTTGGGAGTACGGCATTGCAGCAAGGAGAGGATCCAGGCAGGGACCACATCCGAAAAGAAAAACTTCTGTTGAATCTGACCACCACATACATACAAGGCTACCATGCCCACACCAGCATGAGAATCCGAACCTTCGAGTGAAGCATCTGTAAATATACACAGCTTATAGTCAGCCATACCACTCAGCAGTTTGCGGGGTATATCTTCAGTCATGAAATCACGTATCCAGAGAAGTTCATGCCTCATCGTCTCTGAAATAACACTGTCGCTCAATTGTCCCGAGGCACGCTTGTGGAACATCTGCAAATGCGATGCCAGCACACGGCCAAATGTATGGGTCTCTGCAAACTGAAGCTTACCTCGCAGCGATGTAGCCTCCGAAATTGATAGGCAACCAGAATGTAAGATTCGATCAAGTTCCGAGCAAATTTGCAAAATCCTAGAGGGCTTGTTGCGTACCATCACCACACCATTTTCAGAGGCAGTGAAATCAAAAGTGACACCCAGGGCTTCAAAGGTGTCAGGCATGGGAACTCGTTTACTCTCTTTCATAGACACACGCCAGCCCAGCAAATCGAAAAGGGCTTCAGCTGTGACCTGAGCATCATCCCCTGAGGCAGCTATATCTAGTTGGGGATAGTCATCGTAGTAATTGTTCCAAACCAAGCCAAAAAAACGAACTCCAATCGTGTATATTGCACGGGCCAGCTTGTTAAATCCATAAACACTTGCAGAAGCACCGAAGGGAATGACATTGGATTTGAATAATCGCTTGCAACCTTGTAAATCTTCAACCGCAAGGACAGCACACCAAAGAGACGACTTAGCCGTCAGCAGTTGTTTGTAGGCGGCATCAAGGTCTAAGGTCCGTCCTCTCAGTGAACGTACATCGGAAAGGGTTAATGGATGATGCAACCGTCCCTTCAAAACCGTCCCGTCAGAAAGTGTGAATTGTACGCCTCGGTCATCACTGATGGATTCCAACCAGGTCCTCGCAGCTGTTGATATACCGTCGATACCTGGCAAATCAAGTTTGTAGGAACTGCCATACGCCGAGTTCACCAAACTCTCGGACATGTCATCTATTGCCCGTACTTTGTCAGGCCAAATCTGCGAGAAACGACAAACATGGGTCCCAACTGTCCACGAAGCTCCAGCTCTGTGAGGGGACCAGTGAGCCACCCCTTCTGTGCCTCATCCAGTGCTCCTTGCCAGACTTGTTCACGCACGTTATCCGGAACATGGAGGTTGCTGCGCCCCAATATCTTTCTACGAGTCCACTTCGACGACCTCATGAGATCAACATTGGAAATGGCCGGCGGTTTCAGTTCTTCCTCGAATTGCCGAGAGGATTCACCTTGTCCAGTCAACTTAACTCCACTGGCGATCAAATCACCCAATCCTTCATCATCCACTCCAGCATCGCGACACATCAGTTGAAAGAGAAGGATTTTCTTGTCACGGATAAGGGCTTCACGGTCGGCATCAATCAAAGAGTGCAAGGCTGCTTCATCTTCAGCGAGGTTTGAACGCTCATGGATCATGCTCAAGGGCGAGCGTTCCATCATCATTTGGCTAGAGCTATTATGCATCTCAACTATCTGGCAGGGCTCTTGCCTTTCTTCGAGCCCTCCATTGAATATGATGAGGCGCCGCCTCCGGCCAATTTCTGTCTTGATCATCCAACAACCAGAGGCCTGCACACTTTTGTGCCCCGTCCGACATCCGAAGGTCCCCCGACCTTGGTATCACATGGCGGCATCCCTTCCCACATGGTATTGAATCCAGAACCATACCTGGGACCGGCATCAACAAGCTCTCCACCAATCAATACATCTATTCTCACCACTGGTACATCTCGACCTGCCAGTCTTATGACGGACCCTGGTCCGAATCCAATTCCGGGGTCCACAACAACGATTACCTTCCCTACGGCACCAACACGCACTACCACACCTGTTCCAGTGCGATCAAAACAACGGTCATCATCTCTGGTGGACCCACAACCAAAAAAGAAACAGAAAGGGGAGTCCATTCCTGAACCTAGACTCGCCCACAATCCTGATGCTGTCCATTCGACCTCGTTACCCATTATTTCAGACGCCCGTTCAGGCGACATGAACTCTGATGACTCCGATGGTGAAGCTGCGTCAAGAGAGGACATCAGCTACATTCATGGTGGGAAAGCAAGACCCAGAACACCTCCTCTTACCTTGACTCCCAATCCAAAAGCTCCGCCGTCTCCACAGATGCACATGCTTCATGCTATTCCTGCCGCTACACCTCCTGATCCGGCTCGTCCTTGGACCCACGCTGACGACCAAGAATTGATCGGCATGAAACAGGACACAAAGTCCAGACCTTCGTTTTCCCTCGCTGGTTCGCCGGCTTTGCTTAGTCTCCCAACCCACCTTTGAATCCCTCCAGACATTATTATGGCGATGGTGGATGTCACTCCCTAAACGGCCCCGGGACTTCAACACTCTGAGGAAGCACCTCCAATCTGATCGACCACTTCTCAATATTTCTAAACGGTTGCTACGAGAGCTTCTGGCGGCCCTTCCAGGCTTCCGCCCTGCCCTAGAAGAATATTGCCAATCATCCACGGTAATTACGGTGCCTCGTACCTTCCTTTGGAAGTGTTTCGAGCTCCTTGATCTACAGCTACAACAACAGCATCTTATTACTAGGAATCGAGATGAAACTACTCGAAGTCGTGGCCTTGGTACCAATGCCCCCCTGTGGCAGAGACTGCGGGCTAGCTGCCCACGAACTGCATTTTATAATGGTCCGATTCTGGACGGTGCGGGCAACCAGTGCCGGACTGATCTGGACCTGTCGGCAGCCATGCTCGCTACCCGCAAGTTCTGGTTCCAACCGCCTGTCAAATATGATCCTGAGTGGACAGACTACCTGGAGCAATATAAAGCGCAAACCCAGCCCTGGCCACATGTTCCCCCGCCTGGTGCGGAAGACCTAATCAGAACTGTCCTTGCCACCAATGATTCCTCCCCAGGACCAGACGGAATACCCTATGCAGCATGGCGACTCCACCCTGGAGTGTTTTCGGAGGCGATGATTACGCATCTCAATGACATTTGTAGGTCCGCAGTTCCACCTCCTTGTTCAGTCCAAGCATGGATTCCGAAAGCCAAAATGGGCCCCACTGCTGATAATTTCCGCCCACTAGGTATGCCATCGACATTTGAGAGAGTTATAGATGGAAGTATCGCAACAATCATGACTAAAGCCATTGCTCCGCTACTCCACCCCTCTCAAACGGTGCTAAATGTCTTCCGCGAACCGCAAAGTGCTGTCCAATCCGTCCAAGCTGTTTTAGATCAAGATGCACCCTGCACATGCCTGTCCCTAGACCTGTCCAAAGCATTCGAGAGGATTAACCCCTACTGGATCTTGCAAATTTTATCAGCGTGCAAAGCCCCCTGGTGGATCATCATGTATACTCGGCACATCCTACTCTTCCGAAGATGCAGGCACAAGGTCCAAGGTAAGCTGCTGCCCTCAAAAATGATTGTCACGGGCGTTGATATGGGTCGGTCTTTCTCAGTCCTGCTTTTCTGCGTTGCCATGGATCCAGTTTTAACCTACCTCAACCGAATCCCCGGAATGCTAACAGTTCAAGGATATGTTGATGACACCACGATGGTGGGAGACACCACAGCTGGCATGCAATGGCTCTCGGATGCCTGGCAAGCTTACATCCGTTTGAAATCCGCGGGCATTCAAGTTGATGAACACCACTGCTGGCGAACCAGCGGGATCAATATGCATGCAGCTTGCTCAGGTCAGATCGACCAATACCCATCACTGCACTGGGCACAAAGGTTATCAGGACATGCTACATTGCGACAAGCTTTGGTTCACAGAACCGGTTATAGCACCACCACCATTGTGTGCCGATCAAATTTGTTTGTGTGCCTCACCCCAGCAGAGGTGGACTTCATACTATCTGGAGAACACCTTGCCAAAATTGACCCACTCTTCCTAGTACAGTGTGGCTGCTCCAACAAGTGCAGTGTCCTAGTTAATCATCCTGCCTCCCATAGTACTCTAAATGCGCTAGAACGCTCCGACTGGGGAGCCCACCTCATTGAAGGCAAAACCACTGCGCTGGGTCTAATCCTATATGGTAAATATACCCGTAATAATCAAGGGTGGACCCCAGTAGAGGAGCTTACAGGCACACAAGCCATTAACCCCAAAGCTATGACCAAAGCCAACCAACGACTTGCCCTTTTCGCCACACCTGCCCACTCTGTAGTGCAAAGAAGCCTTGCCAATAACTGTTTTATTCTGTCCCTTAATATTTACCAAAGTACATACTTTGGCTTTACTCCGGACGACATTAATTTATACCAACAACGCTCTGCTAAACTCATCCTTGGCAGACCATGGCTGGCTGCACGGTATCTCCCACATATATTTCGATGGTTAGGTATTGCTCCTGCATTAGACCCAGCTGTCACGCTCACTGCAGCGTGTTTGGGTTATTGGCTTAGACAGAATGGCTCTACTGCCTTTCTCTCACCGGGGTACCCGGATGTAGGGACAAGGCAAGGAGCAGTTGTCCAACGCATATTCCGAATATGGACTTCCCTGCTTGGCATTGACACAGTCGGTAACTTGTTACGCATAACTGCAGGACAAAATACCAGAAAAAAACAATTCCAATTCCTCCGCCACCAACTCGTTTCCTTCCGGAGCCTGCGTCACCGGTAAGACCCCAGCATGTAGGCGCAAACAACCAGAACCATCCCTGCCACATGCAAACTACTGCCAATGAAGCAGTTACGCTTCACTCTGCAGTACTTCCTGATCTGGTTTGCACAGCTCTGACATCCATTGCCCCGGATCAACCCATTGCGGTGCTCCCACTTGGACATCCATGGCTTAGCCTCATTACCCCAGCCGGGGCCCGGATGGCAGGATTCCGCCCCAATGCTAAGATTGTCCCAGCCAGCCCCAACTCGCCTGATTCCGTCTGTACTATCACTGCTCTTCAATCCATCAGTCCTAATGAGTTGATCCTAGCAACCTCTCCCGACCATGCACCATCTGAACCCTCGATCCAGATCGTAGGCCAATTCGATGGTAGTTGTATGCATGATGATGCATTAGGAGGAGCTGGATACATTATCTATGTAATAGAAGGTGGTCGGTCTCGAGTTATTGCATGTCGGTCGGCCGCCTTGCCTCATTGTTCAGACAATATAGAAGCAGAAATCATGGCCTGCTTATATCTGGTTGAAGAAGTGGCTTTCGTCGTCAAGCAACGTTTATCGAGCCGTGGCTTCACGCCCAAGGTGGTCATCCAAGGTGACATCCTCCCTGTTATTAAATACTTTCAATTTGCAGGCCGTCTCCGAAGGATAGACATGCACCAACCACTGGAAAGCATTCGTTCAACTGTGAGTCTGCACCTTCCTGGTAGTCTCTTCATATACCTGCCTCGAGTTGCCAACGGCATTGCAGATGACCTAGCAGGGCAAGCTACCCAATTCCTATTGACCAAATATAGGAGCAATCCCGCTGCTTTCAATAGGGATGCTGGACCGGTGTCCATTAAGCCATCACTCCCTACGGGTCTCTTTCAAGTTGGAGGCTTCCACATTCAAAGTCTTGAACAACCCTGGAGCCAGCCCACCCTTACTCTAGTTGAGAGGCCCAGTATTGATCACGGCCTTCTCCGAAAACACCTGACCCTCCACCCTCACCACCGCCAGCTGATTGAATCCTACCTTTCCCCATGTCTACCGCAAAATTGCAGTTTTGATATTGACTACTCCCCAAAAGCTGCTGACAACCATGGACGAAGATATTGCTGCACCATAGGGGGCCAACGGCTACCGAGAGCTGCCAGGATTCTACTGTTCGGGCGGAATCACTGCGAAATTGACCTCAAAGGATCCTTTTATGAACTTATCCGACGCCTGGGATTACTGTTTGCGCCCGACTTTGTACCCCTCCCAACAATCGATGAGTTCCGCGCGCAGTTAGCCCGGGACCCTCATATTCAGCAAGTAGAAGCAATCTGTCCTGACACCATCAAGCAACTTCCACTGAGAATTATCAACAGCTCCCTTGATGCCACATACCGATACCTAAGCTCTCTGGTTGACGGCTCCCCCAGTGCGAGTGTAAGCGCAATACTATGCCAGCTAGGCTCTTTAAGTACAACCCTGACTACGCAGCTGCTACCGCGTTTCCGCCCGGAGTTCCTGGTCAACCATAATGACAGCGCCTTTCGATTGCTGGAGTACTTCGAAGCCACAATTGTCGAGGACACCATTCGTGCACTCATTGCTCGCCACCCAACACACTCCTTGATATGGTTGCATGATGGCTTCTTAGTTGCTCCCCCGCCTCCTAAACAAATGTTGAGGCAGATCGAGAAGGAAATTCTTTCCAAGCATCAGCTGTACTTTGGTCAGACATGGTTCAAAGTCACCCCTCTTCACACGGCACACAATACATACGTAGACACCCTCAAACATACTGCAAGTAGCCATGCCCTATCCCTAGC